AGCAGTGAGATCTGCTGAGCTGTATCATCAAACTGCGCTATAAAGGTGCCCCTGCCAAATGGAGTACATTCAATTTTGGGCTGAGTCAGTGGGTGGATAACGTGGCTGATGCAGTTCTGGAGTAAAGGCAGGTGTGAGAAGAGAGTAACCAGACTGAAAGGGAGGGAAGCAAATCAGTGGGACCATCTCCATCTTTAGAGGCACAGGTCTAAATAGGTGTATGCCAGGCTGTGAAACAAGTATGTGTGGTCAACTTAGATGTGCATTCAGTTTTCATTTTTTAAAAGTCGGACTTCTAAAATGCGCTTGTGGTCTGACAAGCCAGCTTAGAAGATAACCATCATAGGGCTATGTTCTCACTCTACGTGTGTGGTCTGAATATTTTTTTGGGGTGGGATTTTGTGTTAGAAAGCTGGCTATTTGTTCCTGGTATCCGTCTGGAATGAGTGGAGAGTTCAGGTTAGGCTTTCAGTTCCAGGATGAAGAGGCTGTAGGACAATCAGTGCAACACATCTCAGTCACCAGCCAGTGCATGGAGTGGTACCTGCTGTCATTTCCTTCACTTCAGGCAGGAGAACAGAAACCCAGGGACCACCCTCTCTCCAGAAGGTGGGGGCTAGAGTCGAGAGCAGAAGACCAACCTTCTGCATCCACTTTGAGGGTACCAGACACCCAGCAACGTGCCTGCTGACAGTGTGAAGAAATTTGAAAGTGGCAATGTGTCTGCTTTGTGCCATTTATATTGACTGGGCTAATGAAAGAAGGCAGAGAAGTTGTCTTTAATCATGGCTATCTCACAGTTCCTATTAATACTGCTACTTGAGTCATCTTGTATATAGTATAGTAGGAGTAATATTCATTTATCCTATTTGAGTTAGGTAAGTCCTGGACTAGTAAGTTTCTTACATGGTATTGAATATCTTGGTTAAAATAGTACAGAATAATGAAATGCTCCTGTCATTTAGTAATGAAGAGACCACATACTATGCTCCTCTGGTTCAGCAGCTGTCAGTAGGCAAGCCTTTCTAGTACAGAAGAGCTTCTGAAAACAGATTCAGGAAGCATAGAGAGGGGGGAAAAAAAAGAAGGAAACTGTCACCTGTTGGAAGTGATGAGGAACTTCCAAGGAATTTTGGATAGAGCATGTGATCTGATTTTGCTAAACCTCTGCTCCAGTCTGGACATGATTTATGATGGTAAGATCCTCTTTTTCTCATTCTGCTGTTAAATGAGCGATGGGATTTCTCTTGTTACTGGACATCCCTGTTCAGCTTGGCTGGGAGATCTCTTTCACTCCCATATTACTTGTGTGGGAAACAGAAATCCCAGAACAGAACAGTTTTTAGTCTGGCCAAAGTCATGAAAAGTAAAGTGTCTGAAAGCTGGAAGTAAGGTAAATTCTGAATAGAAGCAAGCAAATATTTTAAGTGAAGACAGTTAATTAACTATGGGAACAATTTGCAAAGACTAGCAGATTCTCTGTTATTATCAGTTCAGGAATGCAACTTAGAAGGAAAAAAAAAATTGAAGAAACTCTTTACTCTTAAGAGGTATTAATTCAGGGATGCTGAAGGTCAGAACAGACAATCCCAGTGGTCCCACCTGGCCAGACCTGAATATGTTTTTCTCCAAAGCAGTCTGAAAGTCTGGCTATTCTCCTGTTACCTGTTGCAAATCAGTATAAAAAAATGAAAACTGGGGCAGAAAGACAGAATACTTATGCTACAATAGACTTTCTTCATAAATTGGACTACTGATTAAATTGGACTGAGTGATTAGCTCATTTTAGCAGTTCTGTATGTCACAATGGACATCCTATTTTGGCTGCTTTTTAATTCTAATAAAGACATCAGCTCTGAATACCAGGATAAAATTGAGATGCCTCTGGGGATTTTTTTCTGTCTTAGTTTTTTGCATAGAAACATAGTTGAACAGTAAAACCAAATCCAGAGAAATGATGCTCAGAAAACAATCACCCTTCTAAAAATATGGGAGGCAATCATTGAATTATAATAGGAGACCATTAGCTCTATCAGAGTTTTCTCATCACGTTTAAAGATAGATTAGGAACATATTATGTAAAGATTTTCACCTAAAACTTCACAGTGGATATATGTTTTGATGGGGTATCTCAATGTCTTCTGGTGTGCTAAAAGATCTGAAACCCAAAATATTTTGATGCTGAAGCAGTCCATCCTGTAAGACTACAAATGCTTTCCCAAAGAGGTGTATGAATAGCCTCCAACCAAGCTTTCCTGAACATGGTACCTCTGACAATATGAATACTGTTTTCAGATTCCTTTCAGTTGCATCAAACTCTGGAAACCTTGGAAGCAGCAAGGTAAAATTTTACAAAGAGGACTATCGACCTCCACAGTTTGTCAGATGAGAATGTGTATTTCTCCACTGGGCTCTTGACAAGAGTTCAGATCCTCTACATAGGCTAGTGAGGATGGGAGAACTGACCCTGTTCTTTGCACCACGTTGTCTTTGCTCCATGTTTCATGTGGCTGAATGCTGGGAGCTCTCAGAGCGCAGAGTAAGCACAGATGAGAGCTGCAGCAGGATCGTGAGGCTGACGCACTCCTGCGGCACAGATCCAGTTGTAGAGGGAGACAAAGGTCCTGTGGTTTTCTTGGGGAATAATCAGCTGGCTTCTGTTGTGGCAGATGCTCTGAGCATCCGTCTTGCACAACAAGGCATAATTTAATAGGATTTTAAATATAACTAATGCCCTTGTTTCACTTTATAGGCTTGAATCAAATCACTTGGGGGAGGAGAAAATGCTTTTTTTTGGCTTAAAATTTTCAGGCTATTTTGTTTAAATTTATGCAGCTGGTACATCCACAGCTGATAACTCATACAGATGTCATGTGGAGAATTGTAAGGCTTATGGCTAAAAAAAACCCAACCCAATTTATTTCACTTCAACATTTTAATTAGTTTTATAAAAATAAAAGGAGAGATTAGGAAATATGTGTTTGTGGGAGAATTTTTGTGGTGTGAACTGTAAAATAATAGGGATCTGATTAAATCTAAGTTGCTGTTAAACTCCTGCTCCAGTGTACAGGGTACTGGAAGATACAGCACTGGAAGATACTGTACTGGAAGGTACAGCAGATGAAAATAGGTACATGTGGATATACATCTGTACTGGTGCATGTCCTGGCCCTGAGCAGTGGAGCTCTTTAGCACTCTGAAATGGTTCAAAGAATGGTTGCTGGCACAGACAGCTTTGGCCAAGGCCAACTTGGAGCCTCACAAACAGCTCGTGGCCATGATTTAGATGTTACAGCATGCCAGGGATCATTCCCAGTGTACAGTTTGCATGCAGCCACTCTGAGAGGCTGCAGGTTTAACAGGCTTGGCCAGATGATGCCAATTGGCTTTGGGGTCAGAGGGCTGGACCAGCCACTGTGTATTTTGCTAGTTGCTCTGACTAGTACAGGAGGAATTTCATGTTAGTTTTAGCAGTACTCCACTATAAGGAAATGACCTCTCCCACACATCATTTTAGATTTTTTTTTTTTTTTTTTGGTTGAAAGACAGAGGAAAATACATTGGTCTTTCACTTCTACATTTGGAATTTTTAGGAACATAATAATAGGTGTGTTGTCTTGGGTAACAGCAGTGATGATGACGTGGTAATTTTGCTGTTGTTGATGATGTATTAGTTGCGTGCAATTTTAGGTGCTGCCTTCTTGTGTAAAAAAGAGATCCTTTCACATATGCCTAAAAAATCTCGCCAGTATACACAAAGAAAGGAAAAAGAATAAGACAATGAGACACAAATTTACTGTGCAGACCACTTCTTAAGAAAGACAGTAATAGTTTAAGACCACTGTTTTCGCAGTTTCTTGGGATGGCTGCCGTCTTATTTCAAGGAAATAATGATTCCATCAGTATTTTCTTCAGAAGTTAGTAATTTTTGTCATGCATTTACATAGAGAGACTGGTTTGTGTGACAAGAACAACTAGCACATGCACTTTAAAAATCCTCTGATTTCCAAATAGTATCTAGGTCATATGATACCCAGAGGCATGATTCATCCACCTGGGCTTTATGCCAGCCAGCAACTGCATGGATCCGACACTCTAGGAATACTGTAAAATTATTAAAGCTGATTTTTTTTTTTCAAATAACACTACAACACCTAAGTTACAGTTCCTTTCTGAAATAAATAATTTCATTAAGCAGATGCAACAAATACAGAATAGACTGAGAATAATGCAGAGCAGACCTAGCTGAATGGTCCCAGGTGGCTTTCCTTGGCTCTGTAGACTTTAACCTCAAAGGTTGTTGTCTTGATATAAAGCCCTATTTGAGGCAGAAGTAGTCTTTACCTGAGCTATCTGCTTGAAGCCCAGCTAGCCATTAAAGGTTGATCTTAGAGTTGTAGGATCATTAAGGTTGGAAATGACCTCTGAGATCATGGAGTTAGCGCACCTTAGCTACAATGACCTAAAAACTGCCTGTGTTCTGCCTCTGTTAGGCTTTTGTATAAAGATAATAATCTCTTTGGGGGGCCGAAATCCCTTACATTCAGTACAAACCTCCTGCTTTTTTTGGTTTTTGCAAAAAAGGTAATTTTCAAGAGATGATGTCATGCTTACTTGAAGGCATATGTATTATGCAGACAGACACTCTTAATTAAGATTCAGCGAGCTTTGCTCAGGAGAATGTAGAGCTGCATTTTAAAATATGTGTAGAAGTCTAGGAAAACAAAAATGTGTGCAGCTGGGGTGGGGTTTTTTTCAGATGTAATAAGGTGTTTATCTCAATGAACACTTAAAGGAGTAAATTCTCCTGGGACTTGCAAGGTTGTTTACCTTGCATTTCTAGGTACCTGTATACTTTAAAAATATAGCCCCTAATGACACTGAAAACTAAATGCCTCTTTTAACTTCTGCTTCTGGTGAGACCCTTACAGGGTCTGTATTACATGTCTCTATTATGGTGGACTTGCTATGATTATTGGATTTTTCTTCCTGTTATCTAGATAAAGAAGAGGCAACAGGACGTGGTGAGGTTTCTGGAAGCCAATCGCATAGAGTTTGAAGAAGTGGATATCACCATGTCAGAGGAGAAAAGACAATGGATGTATAAAAACATTCCTGAGGACAGGCAGCCTGCGCAGGGCAATCCACTGCCACCACAGATATTCAGCGATGACCGGTACTGTGGAGTAAGTAGCTGTCATGGTTCCAACAGGTGATATATGAAAATATCATAACTGGCCATTTAAAAATCTGGGACTTACTGTTGTGCTTTACTCTAATAAGTATCTGAGTTAATGGGGCAGTAGGACCAGGTAATGATCTTACTGGGAAAATTCGAGTCATTCATCTGTAAACCCTAAGGTTGTCTAGGGGATTCCCTCCACAAATGTAAAAGCTGGCAATGTCACACGCTTCATGTACAACCTGTTGATGGTAAAGCCCCTTGTGAGACTGCTGTAACTTGGGGATCTGCGGTTTTCTTGCTACTTGGGTCTAGTCCAAGCACAAAAATTCAGAAGGAAATCTTTGACACACTGAATGAGAACATTGTCTAGACTGAGTTATATTGTCATTGTAATTAAGCTCCTTCTCTACTGCTATCATAGTGTAAATTTCATTTATGCTTAGAGCGTCTTTATGCAGTCAGAGTCTCTAGGATAAATGAATATTATTTGCTGTGAATCTGACAACAGATTAATGGATGGGCTTTTTTTTTTTTTTTTTTTTTTTTGGTGTAAGCTTCTCCATCCACCAGTGCAAGCTGAAGCAGGAACCTCTGATATGTACATTCAAACTGGTTCTAACTTAGTTCCTGCCCCATTCAACAGTGCTGTAACAAAGCTGCTTCTGGCTAATGTATTGTTCAGATCTGATGAGAATTTGTTGACTGCCGTGCAATTGTTAATTTAATGTAGGAAGCACATAAGAAGTGATTTAGTATCCTCTGCAACAAACAGATTGAGTATGATGTGGCAGCTAACTGGCTTCTTGAAGTGAGGCATTTAACATCCTTCCCATATGCTTTGTATTGGCCTTACTTGTTTACCTCAGCAGTATAACTCATATATATCTTCTTAGTCCCAGGTAAGATCTGTCAGTCAAAGAGGTGTATCTGGGACGTGGAGGGGATTTTGGCCTCACTTATGAGGCAACCCCTCACAAATAACAACGCTTGCATTGCTCCATGTGATTTTAGTTTACCTGGGAAATACAGCATCTTGAGCTGTTTTTTCTTACTGTTTCAGCTTGTCTTTATAATGTGTTTTAACCTAGTCTTAGAATTTTCTGTTTGGAATTAGCAAGGCAGAAGATGTCATGCAACATGTGAGATGATCTCATTAATCTGTCTGCTGAGCTGATAGCTGTTTTGGTTGAGCAGAGTTAATCCTATTACTGGACTTCACTGTCTGCATAAACATCTTTAAAGAGCAAACATGCTTTGAAGGAAACTATATTTTCTAGGATGAAAAGAGAAGTATATGCAGAATCTCCAACATTTATCAGTTAGCCTGCTGCATTAGTTTGTGAAGTTCTTAGGTAATAGTGTGGAGGCAAAACATGCAGGAGACAAAGGAGGTCAGTGCTGGAAGGGAGGGTAAAATATCACAATTAGATAAAGTTAACAGACATTGCACATGTTGTCTCTGTCATTCCACAGTGAGTGTTTTCATGTGTTTATCTTGACATAAATAGCTAAAACATAATCTCTGTTCAGTAACTTTAACTGAAAAAATACCCACTGAGTTTTCTGCTAGCTGAGTTTGTGAAATTTGTAGCTTATCATTCCTGATTTGTGTCCAGGCAAATTTTAATCCAGTTTTCTCTATTAACAAACTCTACCTGTTTTTCTGCCTGGCAGTTCTACAATCTCACCAGAAAACTATCTATGTACTTATTCTGTTTTATATATTGTCACTGACAATTTAGGCTTACTTAAGATACAAACTAGTTGGGTCTATTGCTGTTCCTCTAAATGTATGGGGGCTAGACAATGCAAAGCAAAATAAGTACACTTTTTATTTTCGTCGTGTTATTTTAATAGAAGCTTACAAGCACACGGTGTACGAGCCATGACTCAGTGTCATGTTCATAGCTATGCTGGTTTTTCTGTGTTAGTATTAGTATTAATAGATTTTTTTGATATTTTTCTACCCATTTTGTCTTTTGTAGAAAACCTCAGCAATGTGCACGAGGGTTTTATCTTACAATAGGTTTTATCTGACATTGCTATTTGAAATAATCACTTTTCAGAATGTAACTGCAAGATAGAGGAGGTTTGTCTTTAAAGATTTAAGACAGTAAATCTTTAAGATTTACTGGTTTCAGTACGTATCTAAAAAGGATTTGTGTCAACCATTTGAACATCTGACTCAAATCATGGATTGTTTTCCCCCAGCATTAGATCTCCTTGAGGTACACACCAGGTTTTCCCATCCTCCTGCATTATCCACCAACTGCAACCTGGTCCTTGAACAAAAGCAACCCCATGAACAGGTTTGACTTTTCCTGAGGAAGCAGCAACCCACACTGTCTTTCCCAGCCACTGTTCTCCACAGCAGAGAGGCTTTACCCACTTGACTTGCTTAATCATGCCACATGTTTCATATTCATAGATAACCTGTTCAATGGCTTCAGTGGTCAGGCCCACCCCTCGACCATGAACCCATCCATGCACTGCATTACTCTGTAGGTGTTCTGGTGTGTCATGGGCCCACTGAGTTAAGATTAGCTTCACCCTTACATTCCCAATCCAGGTTCACTGTAGCCATTTCGGTTCTGGGAACCTGGTCTATCTATTCCTTGTTTCCATCTTCTTTGGTGACATGGCTCTTGGTCATGTGAGTATCTACATAATGTCCTTTTAGAACAAGGTTCTCTACCCGGGCAGCAACGTCCTGTCCTGGTGCAGCAGCCTAGATGAACTCTTTAAGCAGAAAGCAAGAAATGCTGGAAAACTGATGTCTGAAATCAGCCTACCAGTCACATCCCACCCCCTCCCCCCTTCTTGAATTCTCCATAGTTGGATACACAACACCTCTTAGACTAGAAGTGACTCCTGGAACTTTCAGAAGATTGGAAATATCCACTTCCCTATGAAAGTGCAGTCTTGCAATGCTGCAAGTTAGAGCTTTGAACACTGTTAGTTTTATATGCAGAAATCTGTCACTGATGTTAGATTACCTGACATTTAGGCCAATCAAAATTAAAAGGAAATCTGTTTCCAGGTGGAAGTTTGAACTGAAAGGAAAATATTTTCATAGCAGGCTGACTTTTTTTTTCATCTCCCTTACAGTGATATGGTAGGTCCTGATAGAGCACCTGGTGGGCAGCAGTAGAAGCAGAGATATGTGATATTTATTGTCCTTCCCTGAAATATAATATATGGGTATCAACTCTAACAAAACAGTGAAGACCTATAGACACGAAAGAAATAAAATAGGCTGCTGAACAGATGTACAGTGTTCTTGGGAAACTATTCAGTGCACAGGCAATTACTGACACACTGATTTCTTTGCACTGTTCTGTATCATTCTCTTCTGGGTTTTCTTTAAAGATTGTGGAAGGATGCATACACGTTTCTTTTTATTTTTTGTAGGCATCAAATTACAAATAAGCAACTACTCACTGATAAAAGAAAGAAAAGGAAAGAGGATTTTAACAGAATTGGCTAGAGGCCACCTCAGGGTTTCTGCCCTGGCCTGTCATTGGGGAGTTTGTCATTACTCTTGTACCTGCAGAGTTTGAACTCTGTCTCTCTAGATCCTCAAGCAGTATGGCAGAATTCAGCTTGGCACGCCACCTGTAGCGTGTTCACTTTAGGAGCTAGAGCAGTTGTGAGGCTAATTTGTATTCAGCAAGTCTACATTTGGCTCTCTGTACCCTTGGAGGTATCTTACCTGACTCACTTAGTGTCTTGTTGGTTTGGGTCTGTCTTTAGAAGAGGGATAATTTTGCTAGACAAAAGTTAATGTGAATTGCACAGAGATCATATAACAACTGTTAATGGCCAATGATGCTGAAACTCTCTTGACTAATTATTTTTACCATCAGAAGTAGAGTTTCCTTTATGGCCAATTTAAGTTGTTTATGAAATCATCCTTAACTACCTCTTGCAGTTGTACTGGAGTAGTTTTTGGCTCACAGGCATCGACAAACCCCAGGTTTAATGTGTGTAACTTGAGGCCAGTGGCATCTTCTTGATTAAGCCCTTGTCTCAAGCGAGGAATACAGAAGGCAGAGCTGATGTTCAAAAGCAACCCCTGCCCACGTGTCTTCCCCATGTTGGCAAGATACTGTTCAGACCATTCAAGAGGTCTGTATGGTTATTACTTTCAGGCTATGCCTGTATTTTTACCATCCACTTCTCCACTGCCTTTCTGTGTCGTGAGGCAAAGAGTTTTGGTTCTGTGTGATATGTACTTTATAAAGGGGAGTGTGGTAGCAGAGGCAAAGTGTAGAGCAGCTGGCTTGCCCATTACCAAAGCTTAAAAAATAGAAACTCGGCAACTTGGTAAAAATAAAATAATCCAAGAAGTTTGTCCTCCTCAGGGAAGTTAGAACTCATATCGGTAGTGTATTATAGTTCTGCTGTTTACCCTGCAGTGGAGAGAGTACATTCCTGTTGAGCACCATGGTTTTTAATTGGAGTCTTTCCTCTCTGCATTCTAAACTTCATGAATAGCTGTTTCAAAGTGAAGTAGTTGGTATTTTGTAAACCATCCCTCTACATAAAAATGATAGCTGTCAAAGACATCTCTGGAGATACCTTACTCTGTTTGCAGACTCTCTGTTTCCTAAATATAATAATATAGGGTGTTTGTGTATTTTAAAATGTGTAAAAGTGACTGATATAAAATTAGAAATGTTACCTTTACAGGATATAGTAGAAAATACCGCACATTTTTTTCTTTATGATTTTTGTATTTATTACATTTATGTTCTGCCATACTTATGGATAACTAGCAAAGGTGAAATAATTACTAACAATTTTCTTTGGGATCCTAATTCTCCTTTCCATGGAAGGGAAACTTCTTATTGTGCCATACTTTCTTGAAGAAAAGGGGTTTATTCTTGAAGATGTTGTGACTATTTTAATTGAAGTCTTTTCTAAAAGGCCAGTTCTACTACAATATAGGATATATGAGATATATGAGAAAAGGATAAGAAATATTATTAAGTGGCAATA